CAGCTACTGGCATCCAGATTCAATTTGAGCCCCCCCAGCAGAGCGACCTGTTCCTTCCATCTTGTGCCAGGCTTGGCAGTGGTTCCCTTGTAGATCACAGAGGATGCTGAACATGTCGGATGAGACACCTGTTATTTTAAGTGAATTTTATGCTGGTAAAAGGTGCCAGGATAACAACCCAGAGGATTGGTGTCTTGTATCCATAGAACAGGTACCACATGGGAGGACGAACCGTGTCGGCTTCCCACACACCCTGCTGCCTGCTGGTGGGTCCAGCTGCTCTCTTGGAAGCATCTCCTCTACTAATTCATTCTCAGTGGTCCACTGAATTCTTGGCCTCCCTGCTGAGAACAGCCAACAAGACTGCCAACAGTGTGGACACTTGGAATGAGGCTTGCCAAACTCGTGTCACTTGGGCCACCAAATATCCGTCCCTGTGTTGTACTGGAAAGAAAGAGTTCAAGCACTAATATTTTCCCATTGTCCCTCAGTCTGGAGGAGGCCGAACAGGCCTAGAAGGGAGAAGCAGGGTCAGGGCTGGTTGTTTTGGGAGGAGGGATAAAGGCGGAAGAGAATGAAAAGAAGCCCAGCCAAGGTGTAAAGGTCCTTGGCAGCAGAGCAGCGCCAGGACTCGGTTGCAATCAATACAACGAGGATTCCTCTGCGAGGCTGTTGGACAGAGACAGACCCTGCAGTTCTGTCTGGCTCTGGAGCGCCCAGGCTGAGTAATGCAGCCTGCGCTGCCCAGTGTCACCACACAGGGTCTCTAAGTGCTGGCGTATGATGAGCAGCCAGGAACCAGACTGCTGCCTACCTCGCCTAAGCATTCAAATAAGCTTTTTTGGGGGGGAAGCTAAACTTCTGCGGGCTTAGCCATAGTGAACCTCTGCTCCCTGTGAGGTTTGTCCTTCACTAGAAATTAGTGACAACGTTCCAAAGCTTTTCCTCCATCTTCCCTGGCTTTAGTTGAAATGCAACACTTTGCTCCAGCAATCAGTTGGTAATCTTGTCGGTATTACGTAGCGGAGCTGCGCTGTCCTGCCCATCCGATGCACTCTGCAACAGAGGCAGAATTGTGATTTCCCCTTGGAAGGGGAGGAGGAGGGAACTGAGGTTGACTTGGAGATGACTGAGCCACAGGAGTTTAAAATAAGCATCAGCTAATTCCAGCAAAAACAAACCTGCACTGAGATCAGATATTTTCCCGGACCACATGCCCGCTTTAAAGGGCCTTGGAATTCTAAATGTGCCTCTGAGAACATAGACTCCTTTCAGTCTCTCGCTTGCTTTGCTGTTTCCTAGCAGGCAAATGAGGTCTGAAGTTTGAAACAATGTTTTCTTATCAATACTCAAGCCAATACTAATAAAGGCTCTGCATACTGATCAGACTCCTGGCACCTACATCACTGTCCTCCTTGTCGTGGGGCTGCGGGGACCTTGGTAGCTCAGAAGGGGCAAGGTTAAGTATATCAGGGTAGGCTTTGACTAGATGCCCCAGGTGTTTTTTCTGCAGCCAGGCAGGGTGTGTGTGTGTGAAGCCCGGAGGTGAGGGGATTTTCTGTGGGTACAAAAAGGGGTGATTTTTCTTCCCTGAAACATCCTGATGCAAAGGAGACCAGCCTGGCTGTCCCTGATGTGATCCAAGATTTGTACCCCAGCAATCAGAGCTGCCCCTTTGTCCTCCGAACTGGTATTGTTAAGTATTGGAAATCCATCTTCCAGTGCCAGTATTGCCAATCCCACACATATAAAAGTCATGAGATTGGCTTAAAAAAACATGAGATTTATTTTTTTAAATAATACAATGTGGGGTTTCTGATTTGTCTTTTGGTTCCTGAGCTTTTTGTTTAAGAGCTTTTTCCCCACAACCAGAAGGGTTAGAACAGGGGTCACCAACGCGGTGCCCACGGGTGCTGCGGTGCCCACGGGTGCCATGGCACCCGCTGGGGCATCTAAGTGCGCCCGCATACTGGCTGGCGGACGAGCATCCACCAAAATGCTGCCGAGAAGCAGCAGCATCCAGAGGCGTCGCCGCTGAAATGTCGCCGAAAATCGGCGGTATTTCAGCGGCGACGCCCCTGGATGCTGCTGCTTCTCGGCGGCATTTCAGCGGCGACGCCTCTGGATGCTGCTGCTTCTCGGCAGCATTTCAGCGGCGACGCCTATTGCAGTTGGCGCTTGGTTGGGGGATTTGCAGGGGAG